GATAGATAGATAGGTAGATGGATAGATAGATAGATGATAGATAGATACAGAGACTGACAGAGGCTCTGTATTTTTTGCATATATTTTTCTCTACCCATATACCCATGTGCTCCATTAAATTTAACAACAGCCTGGCATTAAAGCAGTATAACTAGCGCCATTATTCGTCATTATTTTCTCCTCCACTTCCATGATCCCAAGGAATGGCAGGCCTCCATAATATTTGTGTGGCTTTTTATCCCTTAAACAAGGAGAAATTGACTTTATTGACAGAGTTCTATCCAGTCAATAGCAAAGGATGTTGGAAATTATAGCTCAGTGTTTCATAGAGAGGCCAAATAGACACACAGTATGCTTATTTCATCAGGCATTGTGCTATAGTATTCTGGGGAAAGTGACAGTGAATTAACAGCTGAATTGGAATTTCTTCTCTTCCATAAAGTGTGTTAATTTTTCCTCAGTAGTGGAAGATTATTCATTTTCCCCAGTGAAACATACCGGACCATCATAGCTGTGGCTGAAATAGTTAACAATGCCCTGTTTCTCCAGAAGGTAGAAACGAATCCAGTTGTGGAATCCAGATACTTTTTCTTTCTTGATTTCTCCTAAAAAGAACCATAAACAAAGGAACAGATTAATTTATATTCATAACAAAAATTATAAGTCATGCAATATAATTCCTTGCAAAGAAGCTATACGTACAGTTAAGAAAGAGTTTTCCTCCATCCTATCAATAAGAAAAGCCTAAGAAAACTGTCACTCTTCAAAGTGCTTTCCGAAACAGAGGAGAAGTTTACAAAGTTGACTATATTATGATGGAGGGATAAATAGGAAGGATGATAGGGAAGAAGGACATGGGTGAAGCTTAATGGAAAGGCGAAATGAAATTGAATCACTAAAGGATAGGATGGTTGGAAATTCAGAGAGATGGAGCCCAAGAACCTAATGAACTTCTTCTGCAAGTTGAACTACATAGACCATACTCCCCCATTGATGAGCCTCAACAACGTTGAGTTCATATGTAACTGTATTTCGAAGGATCATGAGGAGGTCCTAAATAGGGAATATCTTTAAAAGTTAATCCAAATCAGCTGATATCAGCAAGATCTTCATCCTGTCAACATCATCAACTTCACTTTTAACAGAACTGTCTTTAGTTTGCCATAAACTTCTATCTTTTAAGGGGTAAAATGTGCTAAAGCAATATCAGACAACAAATTGTGGTTATATTGGCAGTCCTCAGGTTACAACAGCAGTTGGGACTGGGAACTCCATCACTAAGTGATGTAGTTGTAAAGTGCAATATCACGTGGTCATGTTGCTTAATGACAGCAGTCCAAGGAATCCCAATTTATGGTTGCTGTAAGCTACCCAGAGTTGCTTACAACAGGCTGCCACATAAAATCTAATAAATAAATAAAGACCTCACATGACTTGCAACTTCCTGCTTCCTTCCATTGACTTTGCTTGTGGGAAGCTGGCAGGGATCACCCTGATTGCAATCACGTGACTATGGGGATGCAGCAACAACCAGAACTTAAGGAACTCATTGTGAGTCTCCCTCATTCAGCACGGTTGTGTTTTTGAGTAGTTGCTGAATGAAAGCTCATAACCTGAGGACTACCTGCAATTAAAATGTATGAAAGAACACTAGCTTTTTTTTAACTAAACCTACCTAGAAAAACATGTTCAAAGCCACTGGAGTCATCATCCTCATTCTTGTCTCTGGAATAAAGGCCAAACCACATCTTTTTAAGATCATCAACGAACTCTGCTTCTGTGTCATAACGATCTAGGATGGAGATACAGAGGGATGGTCAACAATCATTGATTTCTCATTACATGAAGATTCCACAAAGAATACTCCCACCATCCCAACAACGCTCTGTGGAGCAGAAATATTTTGAAAGAAATCCAAAGTAGACATGTTTGATAGAGATGGGAAGAAGGCTGGGAGAAAAACGTGCTCTTTGAAATGGTTCTCCACAGCTTTCCCATTCATTCTGAAAATGTCTAATGTGTTTGCTTTAAGAATCATAGGTTATGAGAGTGCTGTGAAACATTTCATATGTTACTTTCCTCAGTCACAGAACTATTTCTAGGAACTTCAGAGAAAATGAAAGCTTGATCTATTCACGCATATACTCAGCAAAAACAGATACAGCTTCCATGTGATACAATGTTAAACTGCAAAGGAAGGAATTTGGGAGCAAAGCCAATTTTGCTTTGGAGAAATCAAGGGCTCCCTGTAATTATATACATAATTGGCAACAACCCTGGTCAAATTGTAGGTTTTAGTGAATTCTCCAAGAGTATGCAAAGTTCTAGAAAGATATTTAGTTTTGTACCATGTACAGACTATGTCAACTTCTGTTCACTTAGAGTTTCTTTGGAATGAAATTTGATTAAGGCTGCCTAATGTTTCTTCATGCAACCATACATTCTACAAGGTCCACCTGGGATAATTGCATTGGGATTTTTTCACTGAGCAGAACATTGAGGTTGACCACTTCTATGGTTCTCTGATTCTGTATAAAATAATGTTCATTGTCCCTCAATTACCAAAGACTTACTTTTGCTGTGAAGAAACGTATATAGCTCTTTCATGACCTCAGTCTTCATGATCTCCTGGAGGAAAATGTCCTGTTCCTTCATTTGTTCTTTGGTGAATTTCTCCTCTGTCCCAACACGTGCATTATAGTTATCCAATAGCTTGATGAAGCTGGCATAAGTTGGCCTTGAGAAGAGTTTCTCATGGTTGACATAGCTGAAGAGCCTGCCCAATGAAAAACCATTTGGAGTGAGGCTGGCCTACAGTTTACCACAGGCTCAGGATTCATCCCACACTCCATAACAGATTTGAAGAGGGATTTAATTTATAACCAGCAGCATAGAGCCTCTTGGCTGTTCCTATGTGGGACTGCCAACTTTCCAATTGCAGTATACATAGCTGAGATGGCTTTCCTACCACAGAATTGTGGTGCTGAGAGTCATTCTACCTCCTTCCCTATTTCTGCCAAGCATCCATGGACATATGTCCTTTCAGGATCCATTCCAAGGGGATTGTAGCTAGTCAATATTTTGCCTTAGATGAAAGGCAGAGATAATTGGTTCTTCCTAATCACCTCAGCCTTGTCTGATGTGGATTTTCTAATATAGCACACCCTGAGTTTGAACCTGGCATTTTTTTTCCACATGAAAAAGCAACATTTTGTCATCAAAATTGGCCTCCTACTGTAGTTCCTATGCTCCTGGAATACATTACTATGGTTGAATGAAGGTAAACATCTGATAAGTATAGCTTGGGTATCAAACTCAAGGCCTGGGGGCCGGATCCGGCCCATGGGGTGCTTAGATATGGTCCCATGGTAGCTGCCCTGAAAACAGCAAAGGACCGGCCCGCGGTGCCTCTGCCAGTGAAAATGCAGCTTGGTAGGGCTGCATGCACACAGACTCCCTGAGCTCCGTTTTCACTGGCAGAGGATTGCAGAAGGTTGTCGCAGTCGAAACCAGAGCTCAGGAGCCCATTTTTATTGGCAGAGCACTCTGGCCTCCACAGGTGCCTCTCGACCCAAGTAACATCAAGCTGGTCATACCCACCCCGGCCACGCACACCTGCCCCCCCAGGTCAAGCACAACCCTGATGCTGCCCTCAATGATATTGAATTTGACACCCCTGAAGTATAGTATATCAATCCATTTATTGATATAGTCATCAATCAATATTTCCAGCTCTCAGTTTAGAAACAAGAATGCTAAATAGTTATTTTTCCTATTTTTCCATCTCTGGAGTTTTGGTTATCTGTAATTAAGGGTCCACCATTCCAATTAACTATGTTTACTTTGTAGTTTACATTAGGTTAAACTCACTTATCTGGGGAATTATCTTCCTGCCCATTTGTTTTGGAAGTAAAGTACTGCTTGTTTAAGACAATGTCAGACTCCTCTGCTCTGTTGTGGTCACTATGGTAAATCTTCTCTGATGCTTCTTGTAGTTCTTCATCAGTTATAGTGTTGTCTCTGTACGAGAAACCTTCTGTCGGAAAAATAATTATTTTAGCTTCAGGTTATTTGAATCAGTCACTTGGAGAAGCTGCTTAGAACAGGCAAAGATGCCATTCATCCAGAATGATTCAAAGATAGCAGTTAAAAAGCTACTGAAGAATTTTAAGTACAATTTGAATAATACAACAAGAGTGTCAAACTCAAGGCCCATGGGCTGAATCTGGCCCACAGAATGCTTAAATCTGGCCCGTGGGGCTGGCCAGGAAATAACAAAGGACCAATCTGGGGTGCCTCTGGCAGCCAAAATGGGCATGGGGGATCATTTGTACTCCCCGTGCCCCATTTTCGCCAGCAGGGTGCTACAGGAGGCATCCATCCTGTCTCCCCCCCTCCCCAGTGGCCCGCGAAGGGGAACTAAAATGTTGATCCAGCCCTTCAAGAAATCCAGTTTGACACCCGTTATTCAAATATGCGTATTGGGAAAACATAGTTGAAATTATTTCTGATCTTTATCTGTCATATGCTTTTAACATCGATCTCTGACCATGTTTCATTTTAAAGTGTGAAGATGTTTTAATTTCAGAAGATACATTTCTAAATGTAGTTGTATATTAAAACATGTCACCTATCATCTATGCTTTGTTTTTAAATTAAAAAAAAAAACAGTACCATAATATGTATATTCTGATTAGCACCCCGTTGTAAGAGATGAAGATACAGAGAGTGCAAAGTTGCAAAAAAATTGAATAATGCCCAAAGAAGCACAGTAGCTTTTGGGCAAATGTATTTAGTAACAGTGTATATAGGACAAATTATTTGAGTAACAGTGGTTCAGTTATCCATTCATGATCATGTTACTCAACACAGAGATTAAGTTATTCAACAGAACAACCTAGAATGTGGATGATTATTTTTTAATGCACACAATGTGTCTTGTGTGCACAACCTAATTCTACCAAGGATTCTGTCTTTTTTCCCAAGAAGTCTACTTCTACTTTATCTTTACAGCTATTTAGTGAGCTATTTTAGGCTGAACCACAATAATGAAAGAGACAACTGGCAGCAGTCCTCGTGAGCTTTATGGCTGCAGGAGATTGACATCTGGCTCTTCCTAGTTCTGTTCTTGTACTAGAACCACTAGATTGTAAAGCAGGAAGGAGTTCTGATCACCATGGAGAGCTCCAGGTATTGTTACAGCCACCTGGCAACATCTGAGAACATATTCAAATCCAAGTAGACTATGACATTTGAGAAATTTCCTCTTATTTCACAGCAAGGTCTACCTAGAACAGTGGTTCTTAAACAGTATATTTGTTCCTAACAAGTTAGTAATTGTTTGTGAGTCAAGGTTCAAGTTTGGGATTGCTGCTTTTGAAACATTGTATAAAACAACAGCCTGTTTTACATTGGGATTGTTTTGGGGAGGGTAGAGGGTGTATTCATGGCATTATTTAAAACTGGGAAAAGTTTAAATAGTTTGATAGTAGAAAGAACCAGTCATGTAGAAAGATCCCAAAACTTGGGATTTACGGGTAATGAATTAGAAAAGACTCATAAAGTGGTACTGTATAGAATAAGTACCCCTTGGATTCAAGTATACATTGGACTTTAGTTTTCTGTTCACTGCAGTTCCTAGCAGTGTCAAAAGATCCAAATGCTTCTGGTTATATATCATTAGAAGGGAAGCATGTTTTAAACCCTTTTTAAAGTGTTGATTTTCCTGCAGTATCCTTAAAATTAAGAGAACCAAGACCATGCGGGCACATGGATGAATTCAGTTTTGTAACTACTAATGTTTGATTGCAATGATAGGCAACGTGTTCCCTTAAAGGTATTTTGAATACAGTTCTTACAAACTCCAGCCTGAGGAGCCAGTTGCAAAGAGTAACAGAACTGTCATCCAAAATAACCCCAAAGGAAGTGGTTGTTGCCACTAAGTGTCAGTGGAGAGGAAGTAAAAGTTTGTTTTAGCTAGAGGAAATAGAACTGGGGACTGTCTATGTATCATCATTGAAGTAAACAACTGATGGTAAGCTAGCAATTAATATTGATAGAAGCAGCTTCTACTCACTGCAGAAATTACAGTAAGCAAAATGAAGCAACTAAGAGCCTAGAGGAGGTAGGAGATAATTGGCTAGGAATTCCTTCATATTAGGAGCTCCTATCCAATCAGTTCACTCCTGCCTCCGTTGTCTCCTCAAAAGGTCCATCAAGAGCTCAATGGCTTCAGCACTCTGGGAATTTTCATTTAAAGAAGAGAAGGTGTCAATACTCGCCCTTTTCTTTGTCATCTGTGGTACCTATAAAAGAAGAGATAAATTTGGTGTGAATCTTCTGGTCACAGAGAAATGTAGAACCTGTCATTTATTTCTACAGATATGGCCTTCTTACCAAAACAGGCAGATGATTGTCAGTGTGGGAGAGACGGCCTCAACTTCCACATATCCTTTTTAGATTTTTGTATATCATCTGCAGGAATATTTCCATACTTTCCAATTTATTGATTCCCAATAGAGAGAGAAGGACAGTCATCAGAGGTGGGATTCAGCAGGTTCTGACCAGTTCTGGAGAACCAGTAGAGGAAATTTTAAGTAGTTCGGAGAATCGGCAAATACCACCTCTGACTGGAGATTTTATGGTATCCTTCCTCTGCCATGCCCACCAAGCCATGCCCACAGAACTGGTAGTAAAAAAAATCTGAATCTCACCATTGGCAGGCAGCTTAACTATTTAGGTGCTGCCCTTTTGAACTATATATATATTTTAAAAAAACATTTAAATGTTACCTTCAGGTTTTCCCAGGGAGGCTTACAATAGATTGCAATCAGCCAATAAAATCCCAAGCATTTAAAAGATAATGTCGTAATACAGTAATTTAAATACATATTGCTAAAAGAATAAACCACACATAGCCACTCACATCCAAAGCACATAACAACACTATCTTGCAAATCCAGGGTGTTCATTGATTCAAAATCAAAATTGCTTTGCCCCGTAATGAAAAGACCATGAATTGCTAGTTGTTCCTCACTGAGGTCACAGTCCCCGTGACATGTCAATGTCCTGTTTTGCTTTGCATCCTCAAAGGCAACATCTCATTGATTTAGAGATAGATACAACAGGAAGGAAGAAATTTTGCAGCAAGACCAACAATGCTGCTACTGAAAAAGTCCCATGGGAGGAGTGATCTCCTGCGGTCTTCCCTTGGAATTTTTTTTTAAACAAACTTTATAGATTATACAACTAAAATGTCAAACAAACACATACACAACACAGAAAAAAAAGGAAAAAGGAAAGAAAAAAACGATTAAAAAACTAGGAGTTCTATTATCGACACTCTATGGTTCCTTGTTTGTTATCAATATTGGTGATATATTTACAAATACATCTTATTGCGAATATATAATTACTACCTCTTTTACATTTTACGTTGTTTACTAATATATTTTCTATTTTTGTTCTTCCCTTGGAATTTAACTGAAGTGGGAGGCATGTTCAGAGGCCAAATGGGTTGGACTTCTGAGATATTTTTGGGGGTGGGGGTGGGGGAGAGGGATCTTCCTGGATTGTGAGTCCATCCTGCAAAATAGAGTCTTAAATTGGCAAAAGATGGGACCTGGTTTAAATAGCCTAGTAAATCCCCTTCTTCCATTGGCTTGGATCCACATGCTTTCTTCGGCTGGACACAAACAGCCTGCAGCAACAAGAAGTTTTTATATATATATAAGAATTTTATATATATATATAAAAAAAGCAACTTTTATCCAAAATCAGGCAAAGCAGACAGATTGAGTTGATCACAGAATCATTCAGTGATCTATCTATCTGCCATCGGCTAGCTCAGTCTCTCAAATTTGCTTGCCGTGAGTTTGCACTGAATTTGCTCTATTGAATAGTGGACAGTCTGATGCTAATCCTGGATAATTAAGAAGAGGTAGTTCAGACCTGGTGAGTAGTAAGATAGGAGACAACCAGTATACCAAATCTGTAGCTATATTGAAAAATTTAATACATAGGAAAAAGGCAACATCTAAACCAGTGATGGCTAACCTATGACACGCGTGTCACTCGTGACACACCGAGGCACTTTGACTGACACGCCTGTTGGTGTGGGGAAAACCTGCACATTTAGAGGCTGCCTGTGCTCTGCTCCAATCCCTGCTCCCTGCTTGTTGCATGGAGGCATGGTGTCACCGCTGCCACGAGATCTTTGCAGCAGAGAACCAGTTTTAACCGCCATAAACTGAGGTTTGTCAGTTTCATTACCTCAGGAACGCTACAGGAGGAAAGGAGATCCATGAGGTTCACAGCCCTGTAAGGTGGCCTTCCGATCCCCACATCCTGCACCTGCAGCCCTGAGACCAGGGAGACGAGTTTCACAGCCCTGTGTGATCACCCCAGCCCAGTCCGTCATAAACCAAATTATTGATATTCTTGAAGTGACACATGACCCGAGGAAGGCTACACTTTTTCCTGATTTTTGACACACCAAGCTGAAAAGGTTAGCCATCACTGATCTAAACTATTTCTATTCTGATCTCAGGACATCTAATATACAGTAGTGACATCCACTTAGTCAAGTTTGATCAGAGAATAGTTTACCTGTTCTGCAGTGGATGTGGTAATCTTCGCAGCAGTTCTGATTTTGTTTACAGTTATCATCACAGTGGCACACATCTTCCTTGTTATATTTTTCATTACATCGTCCTTTGCAGGAATCCACAGGACCATACAAAGCTGAAAAGTAAAAGTATATTGGGAGAGGCAAAATAATTAGCAGGGCCATGATTAGCAGCAAATGGCAATAAAACAGATTATCCTGATGCAGTATTTGAGGTCTAATGGAGTATCTCCCTCATCTGGAAGTTGGCTTCAAGAACATTGGGGTTCTGTTCCTTTGAATATTGTCAAAGAAAGGGGGTCCCTTGAAATGTATAGAGATTACAACACCCCAATGCTGTGTGGGTGGCATATAGAGAACACTTGATTGAATTGCCTTCCACATTGGTTTTAGGTACCTGCTCAAAATAATGGTGGTGATCTTTAAAACACGAAAGCCTAGAATATATCAAGGACTACTTATTCCTATAAACCAGGGGTATCAAACTCAAGGCCTGTGGGCTGGATCTGGCCCACAATGTGGTTGGATCCAGCCCCCGGGGTCGTTCCGGTCTACCCAATGTGAAGAGGAAAGATCGGGCCAGCCTAGCTTTGGCCCGGTCTACCCAACGCAAAGAGGAAACATTCCAGCAGTTTGGGGAGTGGCATCAAACTAGCCATGCCCACCCACTTGGCCATGCCCACCCACTAAGCTACACCCAACCAGTCAGCCACGCCCACCCTGTCCCCCGAGGTCAACCACAGCCAGATGCAGCCCTCAATGAAATTGAGTTTGACACCCCTGCTATAAACCTATTGTTAGGCATCCAGAAATTATCCGTAGTAATCAATCACTCCGAGACAAGCATAATCTCCAATTGATTTATTAGAAACAGCTCTGGTATGTCTATGGAAATTTCCAAAACTGAAACTCATTCTCAGCGTACCTCACAAAGTCCTCCCTATCTCTTCCCACTTACTACACTTCATAAATCACAAGAACCAATTAACTGCAGCTGGAATTTTTTAATGCAACACACTAAATTGAACTAACCTTGAACTGTTCAACTCCCTCACCCCTCTTCACATATTTTCTTTTGGCAGCTGATCTCAGAGCTGACACCTATCCATTTAACTGAGATCAATTTCAGAAGCCTTCCTGAAGCCTTTCTGCATCTCAAGCTTTGAATCCCCCTTCCAAGGGAGGTTTCTCTCATTTCCTTAAGAATCATTGGAAGATGGTTCAGATACTTTATCTACCAGGAACATTTTTCTCATCTTTAATCTCAAGGGTCATGAATTAATTAGGGTATCCGTCGGAAACCCTAACACCTATTTTTGTTATCTGAATTCACTTGTTTTGATGGAATCCCTTAGAGCAGGGGTGGGTAAACTTTTTGGCTCAGGGGCCTCATTGACTTTTAAAATTTGACAGATGGGCCGGGTCAGCACAATATACGATACATATAAAAAAACTGCAAAATCTCCGCAAAATCAAGTCACTGCGCCTAATGCGCCACCTGGTGTCAAAATACCTGTCATTACAAGTCAAAATCAAATGAATGCAATCATTCAATCATTCACATCAAACCGTAATTCTGTACCAATCCTCGGCGGGCCGGATTAAAAAGTCCAACGAGCCGGATGTGGCCCGCAGGCCGTAGTTTGCCCACCCCTGCCTTAGAGCAACAGACAATACATCTCCCTTTTCTGCATGGTGACCCTAAAAATATTTGTTGTATTGTTTCTTGATAATTTGAAATATACATGTTTATAAGAAAATTTCTCTCTTTATCCTTCTCTTCCTCTTCTTTGTCTGTCTGTCTGTCTGTCTCTCTTTCTCTCTTTTCTGTTGTATTCTTATCTTAAACAATGTAGAGAAAGAGATGGCTTACACAGCTGATAACATATCAAATGCATTTCCTCAAAACACAAAGCTTGTACCACACACACACACACACACACACACACACAAAGACTTAATAACATTCTTCTGGAACTAAGTCAACTTCATCTTCTATTGCCAGTGGCTTCCAAACTAATTGTACCGAGGAAAGCAAACATATAATTCTCAATTTGGATTGGCCGGAGAACAATAAAAAAAAATGGAAGAGAATACATATAACTGGGGTTAAACTGTGCAGTCCTTGGTACTTTCTGAGCTTTGTTATTTGCTTGTAGTCATTTCATTACAGAACTAGGCAACAGCATCAGTGCTAGCGAGTGTGGGGTTTGCTCCTTGTTTAGATACAGTAGTTTGTCCTGCTCATGCTAGTGAGAGTGTAGTTTTTTTCCTTGTAGTTGGTTAAGATACTGTTTTCTGATTGATTGTCTGGTGTTGTTTGTCTGCTTAGTTGAAACCTCACTCACTAGCACCAGAGGTGGTATTCAGCAGATTCTGACCAGTTCTGAAGAACCAGTAGCGGAAATTTTTAGTAGTTCAGAAAACCAGCAAATACCAACTCTGACTGGCCCCGCCCCCATCTATTCTCTGCCTCCCGAGTCCCAGCTGATTGGCTGAGTCTTCTTTGGTGGCCCTGCACAGGAGAACGGAGCTGGAAAGCAGGTTAGTGGGGTGGGAATTTTGCAGTAACATTTCCCCAGGAGTGGGGAGGGAATGGGGATTTTATAGTATCCTTCCCCTGCCATGCCCACCAAGCCACGCCCATAGAACTGGTAGTAAAAAAATTTGAATCCCACTACTGACCAGCATTGATGAGGTTAACTAGTCAGGTAATGAAACAAGCAAGCAAACAATCAAACTCAAAGAACACCAAGGAGGAAGAAAAAGTATTTTCTACATTTTTCCATGGAGAATTGCTGTGAATGATTCAAAGCGGAGAAAGCTTTTTAAAAACATTGGGAAAGTCAACTATTTTCTTCTTGCTTTCCTTTCCTCATTTCCCTCCTCACCTCCCTACACATGACACAATTCTACTGCATACATATCACCTACATATCACCTACATATCAATCTTCTCATCACTCCTTATCGCTCGTCCCCTCCCACTTGTGACTGTATGACTGTAACTTTGTCGCTGGTATACTTACAATTTATATTGTCTGTTTCCTAGTATGATTTGATCGCTTATTGTACCCTATGACTATTATTAAGTGTTGTCCTTGATGATTCTCGACTCCTGACGGATGTATCTTTTCTTTTATGTATACTGAGAGTGTTTACACCAAGACAAATTCCTTGTGTGTCCAGTCACACTTGGCCAATAAAGAATTCCATCTATCTATCACTATCCCCTTCATGTGTCACAAAATAAACACGTCTCCTATGGAATCAACTTTTTTTTTTTTACATTTTTGAAACAGCATCAGGACCCACGCAGGGACATCTAGTAGTGGCCCAATTATATCCCAGACTCAGATAATGTCAGCCACAAGTCCAGGAACCATTTCATTCGATATCTGTTAGGTGGCCCAGTGGCCTACTTCATGCGGGTCTTCCCTTTCATGGCACAGGATGTATACACGATCTGATATTTACATTTGCCCTTACAAATATCCAGGAACTGGGAAATGGGACTGTAGCAACACCGATGAGAGATTTTGTCCCCCAAAAGGGGACAAAATGAGAGATTTTGTCCCAAAAAAGGCAAGGGAACTTTTCTCCAGATAACAAGGGTACCAGCACTCACAAATTGCCTGCCATACCAGTGTAATTATGTCAACATTACTTTACCAAACCCTCTTCAATGGATCTCCGGATATGGGTCTACCATGGGCACCAGACTGTGGGCCCAGGGCACAGACCCAGGAGGTATTATACATTTGTCTTTAGAAACTAGATACCATCCTACTAGGAATTATACTAGGTATTTCTCTGAATTTTGGAAGGAGGTGGACATCGAGTTTCAGCCATCCCAGCAGGCCCGAAACCTGTTTCTGGAATTTGCCTCTACTATAGCCCATAGTCTAAATGTCACCAGTTGCTATGTCAGTGGGGGAACAAAAATGGGGGATCTATGGCCATGGGCAGCACAGGAATGGAATTATTCAATTATCTATAATGTCACTGCCTTGCCCCGACATCAGCCTCAGTCCAGATGGGAGCTAGCAACACCCATTGTGGCCAAATGGTGTTTGGCCAATGCGCAGGGGGAAGGACCATCGGTGGGGGACACAGATTGTCTAGAGGTACAAGAATGGAACCAAACTACTAACTCATGGCATTATTGGCCTAATAGCACAAACCAATTCTGGGCAAATTTCTCCTTAGAGAACATCACTGCAGCCCCTCCAGGTGTACATTGGATTTGTGGTGTGATAACTTATAGCAGTGGCCCCCAACCTTTTTTGTGCCACGGCCTGGTACCAGCATCACAAAATGATCCACGGCCCAGTACCGGCATCAGCACGTATGACAAGGCTAGGTGAGCCGAGCGACCGGCCAGCCAGCCGTCCCCCACTTCTCCCCGCCACCTTCAACTCCTCCTTTGTACCTGTGTCGGTGGGCTTCGGGACGGCTTCGGGATGGTCACTTGGCTTGCCTTGCCTTGGGTGCTGAAAGAATCCTTGCGCCTTAGTTTCATTCGAAGCCCCCCCCCTTCGATGAAACTAAGGCGCGAGGATTCCTTCAGGACCCAAACGCTGCTTTCCAACTGGAAAAGTTCACCCGGAAGCACTTTCTCATCAAACAAGATGGCAGAGCCCAGCAAACCAGTGGCCTAGTAGGAAATGTTCCACAGACCGGTACCAGTGGCCTGGTGGTTGGGGACCCCTGACTTATAGCACTCTACCCTTGGGATGGAAAGGAACATGTACCTTAGGTATAATAAACCCTGCCTTCTCTATGTTACCCCTTAATCAACCACAAGCAGTGAGGGCAGATCATTGGAAGGGCCACCAACGTAAGGTGGATTATAAGATAGGGGACTGGACCGATGAAGAATGGCCCCCGAATGGATCATTCAGTATTATTACCTGGCCACTTAGGCCTCTGATGGAAGCTATGGATACCGCACTCGTATATATTTGCTAAACCGAATTATCTGATTGCAGGCAGTAGTAGAACTTACTGCAAATGAAACAGCTCAGTCTCTATGCACAATAGCAATCCAGCAGAAGAAGTTTAGAGATGCAATATACCAAAATCGCCTTGCCTTAGATTTTCTCCTGACCACAGA